TATTTATAGTGGAACCCGCCTCACCCCCTGAAAAAAAAAAAAGTTAATGATTTTTTGTAAACACGAATGTATGAGAGAAGCTCTGGACCTATTGACCTTGTTTTTGTTGGAATGCATAAGGTTCAATGATTGTAATGATTATTTGTCAGCTATCAAACTTTTCACTTATATTAATCATAGTTGTAACTGCATGATTGCCATACGTACTTCTTCAAAAGTTGTTGGAGCTGAGTCTGTAGCCTGTCATCCTTTGTTAAGAATTGTGCAATTATTTAATTTTGCAGTATTTACCACGTTGTAATATGTAAATTGGATGGCAATAAATATTCAGGCTCAAGATTTCAAAAGTGGTGTTCTTACAAATGCTGTCACCCATTCTTCAAAGGAAACTTTGATTTAGTCAATTGATAACAAGATATTTGAGTTTAAAAAGAAAAAAAACTGGAAAACCAATAATCCTCTTCTAATTAGGACTGAAATTCATGGGCAATCTCCTCTTTGACGTCATGTTTTTATTTTGACCTGCCTCCTTCCCTTTAATGTTTAGGGGTACATAGATTATCCCTCTCACCCCCTGTGGGTGAATCAAGGAGAACAATCAAAAGCTTCTTAGGGTTGGTGATCATCTCTTTTATTCTCATGGGCTTAATGTGTGACTTAGGGGTGGTACTGTGGGCACGTTTTAAAAAAAGAAAACAACAACAACATCAACGGCCCTGGTTTGGCAAAAAAACTTAAGTTCAATGTCTGTCACGGGAATTTTTTCTTTAAAAACAGTCAATGATCTTACAGAAAGTATTACTCACTTCCATCAACTATTGATGAACGAAGTATAGCTCTGTTCAGTCGGTAAATGGAAAGTAATTGTAAGTAAATTTAAATCTGTTTCGAGATTGAGGGAGTTTGCTCGTTTACTTGTTGCAATCGCGTGTGTACATCTGGTCTTTTATCAAAAGTGGAATTTTAATGCCGCTTTTTCTCGTTGAATTCCTTCGTTTTCTGTTGTGAAGTTTACGGTACAAATGTCCATATTGAGCGGACTTGCAAAGACTTACCGAAAGCGTATTTAAAGTATAGAACTGAAGATATCGCTCACTGTTTTTTAATGAACAAATTGTTTGAACGAATTCAGATATAAAATGAATGAAAACTTCATCAATTAATTCAATTTTAAACAAATACGTTACGTTCTAACTTCCTGAGTTACTTCTAGCGAAGGTCTAAGTTAATTACAAACGGTTTTTATGCCGTGTGTCAACCCATTTAATGGCATATTTGCTACCAAAAATCATTTCAAAACCATTATTTTTGCCGGCAGCCACAGTGACTTGAGAAAGAGAAGGAGAGGATTAATAAGTAATTAATCAGCTTGATTTGCTTTAAAGTGATTTACGTAAAAATACTTCTCAGCTGGAAAAGCGAAATATGTTTATGAAAAAAGGCAACGAAGCTAAGGTTGTAGCTAGCGACTGGAGTAAGCGTTGCCGTGCCGCTGTTGCACATTTATAAGAACTTACATTCACATTAAATTTTACGTTTTTTAAGTCTGTTCAGATGGGGGAGGAAGAATAGGGGGCGGGGTGAGGGTGGTGTCAGCTCAACAAGGAAATAATTAATTTTCAAAAACTCGACTACCAAAATTACATGAAGTCACAGATAATCTTAGCTGACGTGAAGTTAACTAATTCAGAAAAGCAGGTTAGAGATGGCGGACGCCGTAAGGAAGAAAGATGTATAGTATTAATTGACAATGATCAAACATAAACTGGAGGTGTTAAAAAAAAAAAAAAAAAAAACAGGAATCATATAAAAAAATCATAAAACTGTAAAAAAAAAGGAATTATATGAAAAATAAGTCCCGTTTTCTTTCTCATTTATTTTTCTCCTTTATTTTGATAGTGATTTTAATCTTTTTATGTCATCATCATTATTATTATTTATCACTTTGATTATCGTTATGATAATTAGTATTTTTGCTGTTATTTTTATCATTTTGTAGAATGCCTAAATATAACTTTTAAAAACTCTTGGTACATAATTTCGGTGCGCGAATGGTGGTTCATTAACTGGCTCTGGGCCAGAGAAGCCTGCCAAAACCAAGGAGGGGACCTAGTTTCCATTGAAACCGAAGAAGAATGGAATTTCATCAATGACCAGATTCAAAGGCGAAATACTACGCTCTATGGAAATACATGGAGTATTGGTTTAACAAAGAGGGCCGGGAATTGGACTTGGGTGAATGGAAGACCGCTGACTATTTGCAAATGGGAACAAGGGGAGCCAAGAGGTGAACACGACGCGGCTTTTATGTACAAGCGGTCCAGTAATGGGGAGCAGGGCGTGTTTGGTGGTGTTAATGGCACAAGTATGGGATTGCACCACGCTTATATTTGTGAGATTTCCGAGGGTAAGTTGTTATTTTTGTTGTAGTTTTGTTTTGTTTTTTCTGTTTGTTTGCTTTCTTTAATATTATTTTGAGGAAACTAACGGCAACAGAAGCGCTTAGGCATCATAAAAACATTATTTGATATCGTTTGTGGAACTTATGAAAGGATTTAAATAAACCCTCTGACAGTCAGAATCAAGTTTACACTAACATTTGAATGAATGAAAATGTTTGAAACGATATCAATTAACGCTTTCACGATACATATGTCTAACTTTTAGCTTTGTGAGCAGAGGAAAATTACATATGGCTCTGTTACCAGTAATAACAGTAAACTTTCAGTTATCAGCTATTTTCATGTAGTTAATTTATTGTTTCGATTGAGCAAAATGATGGTGAATACCAATTGCAAAGAAATATCAGTCCAATTGCTTTTTTCGATAACAACGTGTGATGACGTGAAGTGCGTTATCTTTTGCAAAGAGCCATGCCAGGGACTCATGTCTGTTGAGATACATGCCAATTATCGTTTAATAAAACGAATACAAAAGACTTGCAAATTTATTTTTTCTTCGCATAGCGGAATCAGTTCTGTGTTTTTTTTGCGCGAGAAGTAATTCAGTTGTTACTAGTTGTTTATCGTACTGTGTACCTTTGTCGGACGGCATGAAGCACTCACGCTCCTAGTTCGATCTGCACACCCCCTCCTTGTGTATGAGTCGTGAATTAAGATAGGAGGTAAGTTGTTAAGCGTGTACGTTGTGAAAAAAAAAACCGGAAATGACATATTTAAACTTAAAATGATACAACAAGTTAAATGCGACCTTTTCATATCCCGATAACTCTGGACTCTAATCGACGAGGCTCTTGCAAAAGCCACATACCACAACTCTTATCAGATGAGTCCAAAGTTTCTGGTTAATGTTA